AGCTTAATCAATAAAAAACGTCAAAGCAATATATTTAAACTAAAAATTTATATACAAAGGCTAATCATAATGTTTTAATTTAAATCTCTAAAAATTATTTTATTTTCCAACTAATTATTCATCAAAAGCAATGATGTATTTGAATGGATTAAACAATTATTAATTTTTTCATTTTATTTTTAGAACTTTCTAATTTTAAATTATCCTATTCTTCTATGTTATTTAAAGAAATTAATTTATTTCTTGGTGATTAAATATTGACTATCAATCAATTCTTGAAAATGTTAAGACATTCTCTAATAAATTAAATTAACTAAATTAAAAACATATTTAAAATATTAACTGCTTTGTCTCTTCAACCCTATTCAGTCTAATAAACAATTGATTTAGACTAAATCACAAAATTTATTCCTTCAAAATAATTGCAATTTGACATTCTGTATATGACCCATAAGCTCACAATTCTTTTGCAATTAGCAATCTTCTGTTAACCTTAATTTAATTTAGTATTTGCTCTAACTTTTTTCATTAATTGTAATTAGTTTAATCCAATTTTACCTAATTTTTCAAATCAATTAGAATATCTTAAACCTTCAAAAATTTAAATCTGCTCACTAATGTTAATAATCTCTCGAGCAAGTCTCAAATAATTTCAAGATCATTTGCATTTATTAGGGTAATTCATTAATTGAATCAATGGAGACAATTTCAACTGTTAAATGTTTCTCATCTTTAGTTTCTATATTCTATAGGAAAGACTTTCATTTTTAGCAACTTTGACTTTCTAATATTCTTCATTTACCTTCTACATTAAGCTGTGAATTACTTGTATCACAATATTTGTTTTCTGTTATAAAATCAAAAAACATAAACCTATCTTTTCTCTAAATATGGGATTGAGAATAAAATAAATATATATTGATATTATTTTATAAATTAATGATAATTCATGAGTCTAATATAATGAAATTGAGAATAATTATTAAATAAACACAATATGAAAAGTATTTTGACATTCAAAAATTAGAGTAAGTTGGTAATCAGCTAATTAATTTCAAAATGTAAGATTACAGATCATGTAAATATTTTGATAATTGAAATATATTTTAGCGTATTCTTAAATAGATTGCTAACTTAGACCATTTAATATCTCCTTACACAATTAAAATTCATTAAATGATGTTAATGACTCTAGTTTAGTGATAATTTTTTTATTCCAATTATCATTTAATATCTTAATTTAATCTGATAAATTCAATCGATCTTTGAGATGTGATTATTAATTAAGAATTATATTATTTAATTCTTAAAAGAAGCTAATATTCGAGGACTTTTCAATAAGGGACTGTAAATTAGCATCCCATTCTTTTATTTCTTGAAGTATTTAATTTAATGATTAATTAAGTTTAGACTTCAACTATTAAATTTGACTTTCGATTGATTAAACTTTGTTGATGTTAAGTTTTATAAGACTTTCACAGTTATCGAAAGACTTTTTCTTATTTTCTTCTATCATTTGAATAATTTTCTTGAATCCAATCATCTTGGCATCTGATTCAAAATAATAAAGGCATTTCTCACATAAAAGTCTTTAATTTGATTGAAGATTAGGATTTAGATTTACCATTAAAACAGGTAATTCATGTTTCATAGCACATTGTAGATCTTTTTCATTTTCTATTATTTTTACTTAAAACATTTTTAAATATATTATTAATTCTATTAAGTCAATTACCTAACAATCTTAAATAATTAATCAATTCCTTTTTTATTTAACTGTTTCTATATCTCAATTTGTATTTTAACTATGAATTATCTTATATGAATGCAGTCAATAATAAAAATTTATTCAAAAAAAGAAAACCTTAATCAAAATATTTGATGATTGTTGTGGATAACTATCGATTTCAAAATAATAATATTTTATCGAAATAAAAGTTCAAATTACTACTTATTACTTATACCTCAATTCGATTAAAACAAAAATCATCATTTTTATTCAAATAATAAGGTCTCTGAAGATTGTAGATTATTCGGTTTCTTAAACATCAATATTGACAAATTTGGGAGAACAATTAGTAAAGATAAATATCTTAAAGAAAATTAAGTATATCAAGTATTAATTTGCAACACAAAAGTAATTAAAAATTATAAAACACTTTTTAGAGAATCATATATCACAACTGATTTATCGGTATAAAGTATGCAAATTTATGCATATTTTTTGATTTTATTTTGCTATTATTACTCTCGTATTTTGCTTTATAAGTTCTATATTTCGATATAGAATCAACACAAGCTAAACACATAATTATTTACTGTTACTTTTTAAATAGTATTCCATTCTTTCATAATATTTTATGAGATGATTACTATTAAGTTATCAATTCTGCATGACAATAATTAAATTAATAACAAATATAATAATAATACCTTGTATTATTCGATAATATCTAATTACTTCCATTATTTACTCTCTTTAATCTGAAACTAGATAGTCTATTGCTTATTACCTGATATGATAGAATCTTCTTTGTTAATTCTATTAATATCACATTCAAATTTTAAAAAACTCCCATCATTACTTCCAATAACAATTTCAAATTAAAATCAACTTCTCATAAAAAAAGAAATTCAAAAGCATTCTAGATTATCCCATAATCAAAAATTAAAATGTCTATGTATTACTATAAGAAATAAATTATTGATCTAAAGTATAATTCCTAGCAAAATTTTCCCATCATAAATAGATTAACATGTGAAAAATCTTCCTAATTTTATACAGAATATAGTATTTTTTTAATTAAGAATAAATATTCAAGTTAACACATTCAGATCTTGATTTTTATATGGAAGAGAACTTTTTACTACTCACAAATTTAGATTAGGTATTATTTGTAGAAAAATTAGCTTATAATATTCAGTAGGATAATTTAAAGCTATCACTATTTTAAATGAATAATTTCATGTATAATTCCTGAAAAGGATTTATTCTATAGATTAATTTATTAA